CAAATACAGTGATGATTCTTCATATTAGTAGTTTTTACTATATCCATATAATTATAATCTATAATATTATATAAAAACGCAGATTTTTTATTAATAATTTAATTTCGAATTCCAATAAAATTTGATATTTCATCGAAAAACTGTTGATCTGTTGTAACTCAACAATATTATTCGTGGGGTTCCGAAACGTTTACATAATCCCAGTTATTGCTATCAATATTTTTCGATACATCTTGGATTATCTGCTGCGGAGAGTGGTCACAAAAAGTAAAATATTGTTTCATCGTATTTAGATTCCGATAAAGGAATCTTCAAATAACATGTCTACGTTAAGCGGTGAAAAACGCTTTAAAAAATATGTATTTTTATTTGTTGGACATGAACTTTCATGGTACCTATCGAATATCTAAACTAAATGGTTATTTGAATTAATGATATTTTCTATGACCATAATAAATTATGACATAATTAATTATAGCAATGCAATTATTTTAGAGATTACAATTGTTTATACCATTTGATATTTTTTTATCATAAATTTTAATGTTTTTAATCGATTTCACATTTTTTTTAAATTAAAATTTTCTACTAATGACACCTAACATGTGTAAATATTTCACATTCGATAAAAAGTTAATGGCAAGTACCAACCCTAGTGATACCTATATTATCTTCACGTTCTGTATTTTAAAAGGGATGAAGGATGTTCTTTACGTTGAACATCTAACTGATTCGGATTCTACAAGACGTTCAAAATGTCACATCGGGTTTCGATTCGGTTAAATGTGAAATACAATAAATTTAACATATTCTTACAATTCCGACTAGCATCTTAAATAATATGACGTATTTACTATTTATTGTTATTCAGGTCGTTGTTCATTGCATTCACCACCAGCATTTTTTCAAGTGATATGTACATGTTAATCTCTATCTAAGTCCATTTGAAATTTATTACGATACGTTTTTGAATATAAATTTCTATGTAGCTAATCAATTTGTTTCATTAAAAGCCCTTTTAAATCAGAATAAAACTTCAGCAAATAAAATAATTCKTATAGATTATTCGAYATTATACCATCTCCAATTAACGGGACAAAAAAAAAAAAAGAGAGAAATTGTATAGGTACTATTCCGTGAAAAAATTTCCTTGGTAAAAAAAAAAAAAAAAAACATACAAGGAACAAATTTGTACAATATAATATGTAGGTTTCAGATGAATGTTACAATCAGTACCTATAAAAGATCTTCGATTGAGTTTGAGCCTGTCTCACGTCATACACCGGAAAATGGAAAATTGAAAATCAACATTTCGGACCGTCCACTGTGTTATCGGTATAATAGCTGAAGTAATGTGCACGCAATACAACCATTTATTATTATATTATAATCGGTATATAGTTACTTTTATTACTATGTGCTGCAGCGGTGGTCGGCAGCGGGCGCAACGGGCGTAAAAAACCAGAATCCCCGAGACACAACCCTTCCCATGGTTTCGTGACGCCACTAGAACCCTGCACCGAGAACATATATATATACACCATCCTCGCTTACACACACACACACATTAATAATAATATACTACACTAGGCCAATTATTAACGCCCGGCGACGATATTAACATGCAAAACCCAACGCTATCCAGTTTATCTGTTAATTGGCCTGGAAATTTACGACTATATGTACCACTCGGGCTCGTAATCTTTTCTCTCGTCCCACCCATCCGGTCCATGAAAAAAGTCGTGGAAACCCACCGTCTACCCCTACCGCAATGTGACGTGCTGCAGTCCCACCCGTGCCGAGTTGATGTACGTGGACGCGGGGGCAGAGAATTCAATTAAATTCCGTACGGAAAGACAACCAATGGGCCGGATTATACGACTGTTTATTCAACGGGTTCCGCCGTCGCCTTTCGTGAAACTCTGGCTCCGGCTTCGTATAATGTAATATTTTGATTGTAACGATATATGTTATGGTTGTCGGCCACGTGTGATTTGTATACGCGGCGGCGGTGGCGATGACTCGCTTTTTCGTACGAAATGGTTTACGACGTTCGTGTGGTTAGTGGTTACACACCTCCAGTGACCGTCAACCCGTTATAATATTACCATAAATTTAGATGCCATGTATTGTTKAGCTACTGTTTTGATGGTTTGGTTCGCAACTTGTGATAAACTTTCAAGTCCCTATGCTCCAAAATCAAGAACTCGACGATGGACAGATAAAACGTTGTCGATATAAACTTTTGAAGTTCTAAAAAGTTCTTTGGTACGATGGTTTTTCTTCGTAAAATAATCGTCTGTACCGTTGAGGTTTTATAAAATATTAGTGCTGGCTGCGTAGTGCACATTATGTTATATCAAAATTATGCGTTTCAGAAAAAACGCTATGGTCTCATATTAAGGTAGGATAATATCAGTAATAGTTGCTTGTCATCATTAAAATATATTGATAATTTTTACAAATGATCACAGATGTTTAAGAATATCAGATCTGTCGAGAGTTGAGAGCATAGTAGGTTTTTAGTTAATGTAAAACTGCATTTGCGATTGCTATCGTATTTGATGTATATTTAATCAGAGTAAATCATTCTTTGTGCTTAACTCAATTTTTAAATAAAATGAATGATTTTTTTTATCAAAAATATTAGATTAGATCATATAATATCGAAAATAAGATGATATAAGTAGTTGTACTATGATGCTTAATATTGCACAAAATGCTTACAGTACTTTTTAACCACTTGTGGATAATGTATAGGTCTTAATATATTTCTATAGCTTATTCCATTTCAGTTTTGTGCTAGCGATTCATCTATTGATTTTACAATGATGCGAGTTTTTTTTCATTCTATAAAACATTAATATATTTTAATATTTTGACTAATTTTAAACTTTTTTCTTTTTATAATAAGCATAGATAATAAATCCTTATCTCAGTCAAAAAGCTTGAAACATTTAAACAACAGTCAACAGATTCCATTTAATATTATTTTTATTTCTTATGTTAAAAAAAAAAAAAAAATATTGGAAATCCATTGACACATTTTTATGAGTGTTTGAAATTAAATATTTGATAACAAATGTCAAAATCACAAAAGTTTAGAAATTATTTTGTGACAAAAATATATGATAAAAATAATATTTAAGGCTTGATAATTATATACTGTACGGTTTTTTCTTCGTTTATTTTCGTATAAGCCTGAAAATACATTCATATTATATGAATATTAACCATAGTATTATTTTTAAATTCAACCGTAAAAAGACACTTTTTACATATACGTATTTATAATTACATATATTGGTATAAATACATTTTAAAAATATTCAGATTAATTTTAAGCTAGCTCCCTAGTTGTATTTATAAAATAAGCATATTCACACTCCAAGGTATTTCGGTATAGATATAGATTATAGAAGGTAACATCAGATATTCAGATGGTAATGTTATAATGTTTATTATATATAATATATTTTAGTTGATTGTTATTTGACGAAGAAATTAGTTTGACGTCCTACCGTATCAATATAAGAAATAGAAATAGAAACTTATATAGACCATCTCTGTTTGAAATATTTTTTTAATGTGCAATGATTTATCATTAAATTCAAGTTCAATATTCAAATCCATTATTATATATACAACTCAATATACAGTATAACGAGTTTTCATAATTGTATTTTTCATATTATTTTGAAATTTGAAGTTACGTTCGCTGGTAATAATGTTATAAAACTCAGATATTATCTAGATTATCTAGATGATGTGTAAAATATTGAAGACAACTATAATTAAGATAAATTACTTTCAATGTTTTATAATATACAATAATATTTGTTATAACTTTATAAGCAATATGGTTTGTCTCTGAAAGAAGATATCATATCATTTAAATCTGGAGCATAACTTATGTTAATTTCGCTTGAAAAAACTAATAGCCAGAAACTGTACTTTCCTCGTTTGAAGTATCAACTTGATACACCTGATCTGCAGTCCATAAGACTTTGATGTACATAAGTCATTAAAATAATGTATCCAATTTATTATTATTATTATTATTTTATTTATAAACTGGATAATTGTTTTGGTGTTAGTTTAGAATTTTTACTTTRATAGAATGTTATAGATATTGAACATAACGTAACAAAATAAAATCGATTCTCAAGACACTTCGTTTTTGTGATCCGAACATCATATAACCAGCAAATATAATCTTAAACGTAATTATCTTCGTTATAAAGCTCTTTGTCAACTTATTTGATTATCATTGAGTATAAAATTCAAGGCATCTCCCCGGGCAAATCTGTTATTAATACATTATACATTTTAAGGTGAATTTAAATGAACTAATTATAAATCCGTATAATAAATTTTGTCATTATACATTTTATTCATAACAATATCAACAAGCATAAAATCTTAAAAAGTTTTTATGCTGAATAATTTTATAGTTTTGTTTTCCACATATTATTTAGATGGTAGGTATATACTGCAGGTAACATATTTGTATAATGTTTAATTGACAGAGTTCACAAATTAAAAAAAATTAAAATGGTAGGYGCCTTTAACGATACAACTTTTTAATGTCTAATGTCATAGGTAGTAACAGTATATTTATTCAATTTAAATATTTGTGGATAAATATAACTAACTGATCAATTAACATTTTGAAATGTGTGCGTCGTCTATACTGACATGCGTAATGCCTTTTTGATTACGATAGTTTTATCATTGGATAGCTTTATGTTTAAAGCATATTAAATCAATCTCTCTTGGTACTCCCGGGGTTAGTGTAGAATTACAAAATCTTGCAGGGATCAGACGCATTCTCCCGACAGTTGGAAAGACGATGATACTATTGGAATAAGTAAATAGGGAAGTAATATATGTTTCGATGACTATGATCAAATACAAACATCCAAAACTAAACGAAAATATTATATTATATCCTATACATTGGCTGACAACGTGACTGTAATATTATTTTATGTTTGCAGCTTTGACGTAAGAGGCATGCCGTTGGATCAAGCACACCATTATTCAGCACCGGATGTGTTCGGCAACCGTGCCTCCTTCCGGAYAGTTACAGATCCGGCATGTCTATTGGTTGATGAAGTACATCGGAACGATGAGGGAGTGTACAGATGTCGTGTGGATTTCCGAAATTCCGCCACCAAAAGTTTCCGGTACAACTTGTCCGTTATCGGTAAGTGATCTTCYATTCCAATATTATGGTCAAATTCGTATAAGCATACTAAGAGGTATTTTTCTGTGTGCTACAGTTAAAAGTAGGAACTAGTCATGATGATTGTTTGATAAACTATRTACAAATATTTTTTTTATATATCRTTTGTATTATTTGTTGTTTGTTTATTTATTAAAATTTTACTGGAATTATAAACCATGCTATATGAGATAAGCTAGGTATATCATATACAATTGTGTATGTTATTGTCTTATATATTATACCTATTCAGGCGGACGTGTGTCGAGTTTATATTTTATTATTATAGGTTAGGTATTTTGAGTTATTAGGTACGATAATAATCATGAATATAAATTACTGCGATAGTCCGATAAACATTTATTATTATTTTATTCCAAAAACTTGAATATTATGGAACCAAGCCAAAAAATATTATTACATCGCAATCAATTAGAATAATTAAACACTTAAATAATGATATTGTATTTTCAAAGAAAATAGTTGGTATAATGTAACT